AGGGGGGGGGGGGAAAGGCGCGGAAAAAAATACGTTAAAATATTGCGAAATATCGTGTGTATAAAACACCCCGTCGATTCGCGATACCCGATTCACGAAATAACGTTGTACGAATTTTTACGTGAAATATTTATTGCAATTTAAAAATCGTCGTATCTCGCATGAAAATTAAAATGTCGAAAGAAAAACAACGGTCAAACATTCTTACCTTTGATCGCAATCAAATGCACGCTAATGTTAGAAACATTAACAGCACAAAATGTACGAAAAGTATAAATATAACGTCATTTCGTGAATTGGACAATTTCGCCGACAGAACGTGTGATATGGTATCGATGGTGACACGCAAATGGATCTTATCGACAGAATTCGTAGTTTTCGGGAGAGTTATTATTTTGATATTGGCAATAACTTTTTTCCGGTTGGAATACGACATTTTTTCATTGATTACGCATTGTTGATTGGCTTTTATATTGTCCTTTAGACCCTTGCAACGTACGAAAACGACAATTTTCCGTTATCAAAGGACGAGCATACCTACAATGGATATGGTCGACCGGTTAATGGATTACACCCGCGTCGACCGATATGTTATTTCATCGTAAACAATAATTCCCCCCCCCCCAACGGGCAAAGGTTTATGCTATCGAAATCTGTTGCAATTCACAATGATATTATATTCCTAATCACAAAAATACCATATTCCTGACTACGAGTTAACGGCCAATCAGATCACGTATTCCCTTATCGCCAAAAACGTTCAATATTCTATAGGATTGAACGTATTTCATTAAATAAACATAATTGTAAACACGAGCTCAACATCATTATCTACGATAAAGTCCATAGAAATAATTTTAATTTAAATACTATTAAAAAAAAAAGCATGAACAAAAAATTATATATAAAAAAAAAAACACACAATTTGCCAAGTAAGGATGTTAACTATTCTAGTATTAATTATCAAAATAATATGTCTAATGAATTCGCTAAAATTCTGAACAGTAATACGAATAACGTAAAAATAGCTTTTAACTCTGATCATAATTTAATTAAACATATGAACAATAATAGAACAAAAATTCTCTTTTTTGAAAATGCCGGTATATACAAACTTAAGTGTAAATGTAATAAATTGTACATAGGGAAGACAAACGTAAATTTTAGAATAAAAAATATAAACAATTTTTGAACAATTTCTGGAATAAAATTTAAAAAAAACTGAATATTCTGAATAAACCATTTCCTCCATCCTGAGAAAGTACCAGTACTTAGAATAGCGGAACACTTCGAATAACGGACGAATTTCCGATGACCAAGAGTGACCCTCTTTGCAAAGGTTTCACTCCATTAACATAAGTCAATGGAAAATTTTCCAAGGTGTTCTAGTGTTTTATATTGCGAACAATGGTCAAGAGAAGACCAATATATTCGCTTGTAGGTAGGTCACACTCAGATACGAATAATCATAGCACTGGGCTGTAGGATCATTAAACACTAATTCAGCCTAACCTACCTAAAAAACCTAGCACCTAAACCTAATTGAGTAGACGATCACAGCCCAGTTATCATAAAACCGTACAATCATCATTGTGCAACCTGAACGAAACGGTGAAATAAAACCACACTATATAACCCCACTGGATACGCTTTGCCGCTAAGAAGATTCATAAATTCACGTTATTTTTCGTCATTCTGAGTTATTTGCATTGACTTATCGGTAGCCGAATTGTGCACACGAAATTCTGTGGAAATCGAACTACGTGTAATTTCCGGATATTTTCAGTTAAAACTATGAAAAGTAGACAAATTTCACTCGGTATTACCTTTTTTTAATAAGAATACTAAGACAACGCCACCTATCCGTGAACCCTCGCGCCAAATTTTGTATAATAATTGTTAAATATCGAAAAAATAACCGAAGGGTAGGTACTGTAATCTAAATCTTACTTTGGTTTAGAATAACAGACATTTACTGGCGTAACAGATGAGATAGTATTTTAGAGGATAAAATTGATGTATATCTGTGTGCAACGATTAATCATTATAAAACTATATAATACTATGATAGGTCACTAATATTATACTACATTCTTGCAGTTTTTCATAAAGTAAATTTAAAGTAGAAAACTTAAAATAATTTAAACCTTATAAGAAAAAAACTTCTGTTATATAGATAGTTCTTCTGTTAAAAGTTTATTCAAATAAATATCGAAAAGTAGAAAAATTTCACACAGTTGTATATTTTTTTAACTAGAATACTAGGACAACGCTACCTATCCGTGAGCCCTCGCACCGAGTATTGTATAATATTTGTTAAATACTACGGCTATAGAAAATAATCTGTCTATAGTCATTTTGGGTACCTACGCGACAGTAATCCAAATTTTACCTTTGTTTAGAAACACAAACTGACATTTACTAGCACAACGGATGAGATAGTATTGTAGAGGATACAATTGATGTATATCTGTATGAAACGATTTATCATTGCCATCGAAAAACTATTTAGAATGGAGTTTTTATTATAGGTAATATTTTGAATGGCCGTAATATTATTGATTTCGTCTTTCTGAGTTATTTGCATTGACTTATCGGTAGCCGAATTGTGCAAGTGAAATTCTGTGGAAATCAAATGACGTGTTTTTTTTTTGATATTCTAAGTTTAAACTACGGAAAGTAGACAAATTTCACACGTTTTTACCTTGTTTTAATTAGAATACTAGGACAACGCCACCTATCCGTGAGCCCTCGCATCGAGTATTGTATAATATTTGTTAAATTTCGAAAAAAATAACCTAAGGGTAGGTACTACGGCTATAGAAAATAATCTGTCTATAGTCATTTTGGGTACCTACGCGACAGTAATCCAAATTTTACCTTTGTTTAGAAACANATTTACTAGCACAACGGATGAGATAGTATTGTAGATTATACAATTGATGTATATCTGTATGCAACGATGAATCATTGCCAACGAAAAACCATTCTGAATGGAGTTTTATTATAGGTTATATTTTGAATGGCTGTAATATTTTTGATTTCGTCATTCTGAGTTATTTGCATTGATCTATCGGTAGCCGAATTGTGCAAGTGAAATTCTGTGGAATTTAAATTACGTGTAATTTTTTGATATTCTAAATTTAAACTATGGAAAGTAGACAAATTTCACACGTTTTTACCTTTTTTTAATTAGAATACTAGGACAACGCCACCTATCCGTGGGCCCTCGCACTGAATTTCGTATAATATTTGTCAAATATTGAAAAAATAACCGAAGGGTAGGTACTACGGCTATAGATGATAATAATCTACCTATAGTCGTGTTAGGTACCTACGCGACAGCAATCTAAATCTTACTTTTGTTTAGAAACACAAACGGACATTTACTGGCATAACAAATGAGATAGTATTGTAGAGGAAAAATTGATGTATATCTGTAAGCAATGATTATTCAATATAAAACTATATAAACTATGATAGGTCACTTATATTATATACATTTTTGTGTAGATTTTCATAATGTAAATTTAAAGTAAAAAACTTAAAATAATTTAAACCTAATAAGTAAAAAACTTCTATTTTATAGATAGTTCTTCTGTTAAAAGTCTGTTTTGTCAAATAAATATCGAAAAGTAGAAAAATTTCATACTGTTGTACCTTTTTTTAATTAGAATATTAAGACAACGCACTTATCCGTGGGCCCTCGCACCAAATTTTGTATAATATTTGTCAAATATTGAAAAAATAACCGAATGGTAGGTACTACGGCTATAGATTATAATCTACCTATAGTCGTGTTAGGTACCTACGCGACAGCAATCTAAATCTTACTTTTGTTTAGAAACACAAACGGACATTTACTGGCATAACAGATGAGATAGTATTGTAGAGGAAAAATTGATGTATATCTGTATGCAATGATTAATCAATATAAAACTATATAAACTATGATAGGTCACTTATATTATATACATTTTTGTGTAGTTTTTCATAATGTAAATTTAAAGTAGAAAACTTAAAATAATTTTAACCTAATAAGAAAAAAACTTCTATTTTATAGATAGTTCTTCTGTTAAAATTCTGTTTTGTCAAATAAATATCGAAAAGTAGAAAAATTTCATACTGTTGTACCTTTTTTTAATTAGAATATTAAGACAACGCACTTATCCGTGGGCCCTCGCACCAAATTTTGTATAATATTTGTCAAATATTGAAAAAATAACCGAAGGGTAGGTACTACGGCTATAGATGATAATAATCTACCTATAGTCGTGTTAGGTACCTACGCGACAGCAATCTAAATCTTACTTTTGTTTAGAAACACAAACGGACATTTACTGGCATAACAGATGAGATAGTATTGTACAGGATAAAACTATCACAATAGTGCTACTATTGAAAACAGTTGCAAAATCTCTGTTTGGAAATTGGTTGAAAGAAAAAAAACAAATTAAATGTAATTTAAAACAAAATAGCAATCGATGTTACAGAAATGATATCTCGTAATATTTAATTCTGTTACTGGTTAAATTATTAACAAACCATAAAACTATGATAGGTCACTAAAATTATATTATATTCTAGTGGTTTTTCAAAATGTAAATTTAAAGTAGAAAACTTAAAGTAATTTAAACCTAATAAGAAAAAAACTTCTGTTTTATAGATAGTTCTTCTGTTCAAAGTCTGTTTTGACAAAAAAATGCTTCTTACATCTGTGGTTGAATATCATTTTTCCATCAGATATATAATAAAATTATAATTTTTTTTTTTTATAATAATTATTATAATTTTAATAAAATTACCTATTCATCATACTTATTACACTTATTTTACTACACCCCTACACCTTATTATCTTTTAAAACTGTTATATTATTTATTTAATTTAAATATTCCACAATTGAACAGTTTCGTTTTAACTCTACGTTATTTGTTCATTATCAGAAACGTTATTGTGTTTCAACATCGACACCAGTACCTGCTTGTAACGTCCAAAGACGATCGATTTCCGTTAACAAAGGCCCAGCGTAATACCGAGAATCGATGCGGTCGACCGGTTAATAGATAACGCCCGCGTCCACGGATAAATTATGTCATCATGAACAATAATTCCTCCCTCCCCACCAACACGCCCAAAGGTTTACGCGTTCGCAATATGGTGCAATTCACATTAATAATACACTCCTAATCACGGATTAACGGCCAATCAGATCACGTTTCCCCGTATCGCAGAAAACGTCGGCCGCGGCGTCGTGTGCCACGAACGTCTCCGCGCTCCGCCGTCCAGTTCTCGTTTAAATTTTGTGTCCGTTCCGTTTTTGTTTTACGCGTCCGGACCGCGTCTCGAGATTTTGTCACCGAACGGTATTTCGATGCAGTGCTCCTGATAAAACACTCCGGTGTGGTGCACGGATTCACATATTTCGCCGTCGAAAAAAAATCGCGTATCCGCGTGCACGTTTCCTGATGGTGCCCCAAACAGATCGATGGAGCGAGTCCCGGTCCGGTGCGCTTGGCGGACATCTTCGGACGGACCGAACGGTAATGTACACGTGATTTAATAATTGGCCGATACCCCGTTTTCGTTGGTTAGTTTCAAAGTAGTTGAGCCGAGGTCCCCCGTATAAATATTTTTATTTTTTTTTTCTCTGCTCGTGTGTTAAATTCGTATGCGATATAATACGTTACGTTAAACACTTCCGTTATACCTGCGCGGATCGACCAGCGTCCATTTGGTTTGCGTGCCGTCCCATTGTAAAAACCCTCGCGTTCCACAACCTATGTGCGTTAGGCCAAACCCCCCCCCCCCATATTTTTGTTTCTCGTTTTTATCGCCTCTAAGCACTAAGCGTTTGCAACCGTGTGCGTGTGCCTATCAGAAAAAAAAAAAAATTATACATAATATCGATCGATCATCGCCATGTCGCGATCCATATCCGGACTCGTCCCGCGGGTTGACCCGTAGGGCCGTTCAGTCGCGCTTCCCGGTTATCATGCGTGCGGCCCGGCAACCTAACCTAATCACTACCCGCGTCCGGACGACAATTTTTAAGACCGGTTGACCTCCCCTCCCCGCCCCTATTCTTATATATGTATTTTAAATTCATGTTGTTTGGATATGTGTGCCTATCGTTCTATGTATATATCTGCATACCTATGTAAAATCGTACCTACTATTCGCTTTCTCTCGGCTGACAGTTTTCTTTGCCCGTGGGCTTTTCTGTCCCATCAACGTAACTTCACATTTATTTAGATGAATGTAATTTTCCCTTTTCCCACCTAACAAAAAAAATCCTAGGACTCCCGTCTTCGGTTCTAGTTTCGCGACCTTGCTCTCCTAGGAGGGGAGGCAACTGGTTGGGCGCTCGGAACGGTCCTCTAAACAAGGCCGGCCGAACCGGGACGTCTCGGATGGCTGTCCTGTCGGGTTACGAAATTATAATTATTTTTTTCTTATTATTTTGTTAATACTCTATTTATCTTACAATTCCCCCGGCAGCACGAAGAACAGTTTGATGACGTTCCGTTGGAATAGGTACGATTTATTATTTTTTTTTTCTCATTTAGTTTCCCAAGAACCTTCTGTTGTTGTTTTTAATTACTTGCAGGAAAGTACGGCTCTATTCTCGTATTCTTTAATACGCCGGTACTTTAACGGTCGACGAGTCCAAAGATTGCGATCGCATGGTCCGTTCACAATCAACATTTTCGTCAACGGCACACAGGCCCAGTCCCGAGGTCAACAACGGCAACACGACAATGACCGCCGCCGTAATTATTATTAGCTAAGATAAGATTATTGTTGTGCGCAAATTGTGTGCACCCGTACTTATTATCTTTATTTTTCACATTTTTACCACGACTTGGATTGGTCACAATTTATTACGTATTTTTGTTATTTATATATTGACAAACATATTATTTTAATGCAGTGATCATTAAGTGTATACCCACTATCATTTACTCATTTATTTTTCTTTGTTCCCCAATGTTCTGCATAAACCATTTCCTCCATCTTAAGAAAATACCTATACTTAGAATAGCGGAAGACTCCGAATGACCGACGCATTTTCGGTGACCAAGAGTGTCCCTCTTTTCAAAGGTTTCACTCCATTAATAATGGTCAATTGGAAATTTTCCAAAATGTTATAGTTTTTCATATTGCGAACGATGGTCAAGAGAAGACCAATATATTCGCTTGTTGGTAGGTCGCACTCAGATACAAGTAATCATTGCACTGGGCTGTAGGATCTTTAAACACTAATTGAGCCTAACCTACCTAACTAACCTAGCACCTCATCCTAATTGAGAAGACGATCACAGCCCAGTAGTCATAATAACGGATAATCATCATTGTGCAACCTACAAGAAACGGTGAAATAAAACCACACTATATAACCCCTCTGGATACGCTTTGCCGTTAAGAATATTTATAAATTCAGGTTATTTTTCGTCATTCTGAGTTACTTATCGGTAACCGAATTGTGCAAGTGAAATTCTGTGGAAATCGAATTACGTGTAATTTCCGGATATTCTCAGTTTAAACTAAGAAAAGTAGACAAATTTCACTCGGTATTACCTTTTTTTAATAAGAATACTAGGACAACGCCACCTATCCGTGAGCCCTCGCGCCGAGTATTGTATAATATTTGTTAAATATCGAAAAAAATAACCTAAGGGTAGGTACTATGGCTATAGAAAATAATCTGTGTATAGTCATTTTAGGTACCTACGCGATAGTAATCCAAATTTTACCTTTGTTTAGAAACACAAACGGACATTTACTAGCACAACGGATGAGATAGTATTGTAGATTATACAATTGATGTATATCTGTATGCAACGATGAATCATTGCCAACGAAAAACGATTCTGACTGGAGTTTTATTATAGGTTATATTTTGAATAGCTGTAATATTTTTGATTTCGTCATTCTGAGTTGTTTGAATTGACTTATCGGTAGCCGAATTGTGCAAGTGAAATTCTGAGGAAATCAAATTACGTGTAATTTTTTGATATTCTAAATTTAAACTATCGAAAGTAGACAAATTTCACACGTTTTTACCTTTTTTTAATTAGAATACTAGGACAACGCCACCTATCCGTGGGCCCTCGCACTAAATTTTGTATAATATTTGTCAAATATTGAAAAAATAACCGAATGGTAGGTACTGCGGCTATAGATTATAATCTACCTATAGTCGTGTTAGGTACCTATGCGACAGCAATCTAAATCTTACTTTTGTTTAGAAACACAAACGGACATTTACTGGCATAACAAATGAGATAGTATTGTAGAGGAAAAATTGATGTATATCTGTAAGCAATGATTATTCAATATAAAACTATATAAACTATGATAGGTCACTTATATTATATACATTTTTGTGTAGATTTTCATAATGTAAATTTAAAGTAAAAAACTTAAAATAATTTAAACCTAATAAGAAAAAAACTTCTATTTTATAGATAGTTCTTCTGTTAAAAGTCTGTTTTGTCAAATAAATATCGAAAAGTAGAAAAATTTCATACTGTTGTACCTTTTTTTAATTAGAATACTAGGACAACGCACTTATCCGTGGGCCCTCGCGCCAAATTTTGTATAATAATTGTTAAATATTGAAAAAATAACCGAAGGGTAGATACTACGGCTATAGATTATAATCTACCTATAGTCGTGTTAGGTACCTACGCGACAGCAATCTAAATCTTACTTTTGTTTAGAAACACAAATGGACATTTACTGGCATAACAGATGAGATAGTATTGTAGAGGAAAAATTGATGTATATCTGTAAGCAATGATTAATCAATATAAAACTATATAAACTATGATAGGTCACTTATATTATATACATTTTTGTGTAGTTTTTCATAATGTAAATTTAAAGTAGAAAACTTAAAATAATTTTAACCTAATAAGAAAAACACTTCTATTTTATAGATAGTTCTTCTGTTAAAAGTCTGTTTTGTCAAATAAATATCGAAAAGTAGAAAAATTTCATACTGTTGTACCTTTTTTTAATTAGAATATTAAGACAACGCACTTATCCGTGGGCCCTCGCACCAAATTTTGTATAATATTTGTCAAATATTGAAAANTCGTGTTAGGTACCTACGCGACAGCAATCTAAATCTTACTTTTGTTTAGAAACACAAACGGACATTTACTGGCATAACAGATGAGATAGTATTGTAGAGGAAAAATTGATGTATATCTGTATGCAATGATTAATCAATATAAAACTATATAAACTATAATAGGTCACTAATATTATATTACATTCTTGTAGTTTTTCATAATGTAAATTTAAAGTAAAAAACTTAAAATAATTTAAACCTAATAATAAAAAAACTTCTATTTTATAGATAGTTCTTCTGTTAAAATTCTGTTTTGTCAAATAAATATCGAAAAGTAGAAAAATTTCATACTGTTGTACCTTTTTTTAATTAGAATATTAAGACAACGCACTTATCCGTGGGCCCTCGCACCAAATTTTGTATAATATTTGTCAAATATTGAAAAAATAAGCGAAGGGTAGGTACTATGGCTATAGATAATAATCTACCTATAGTCGTGTTAGGTACCTATGCGACAGCAATCGAAATCTTACTTTTGTTATAAACTCAAATGGACATTTACTAGCACAATGAATGAGATAGTATTGTACAGGATAAAACTATCACAGTAGTGCTACTATTGAAAACAGTTGCAAAATCTCTGGTTTGAAATTTGTTGAAAGAAAAAAAAACAAATTAAATATAATTTAAAACCAAATAGCAGTCCGTGTTACAGAAATGATATCTCATAATATTTAATTATATTACTGCTTATTTTATTAACCATCCATAAAACTATGATAGGTCACTAAAATTAATATTACATTCTAGTGGGTTTTCATAAAGTAAATTTTTAAATTTTTTTTTTATATTATTTATTACTATTCAATAAAATTACCTATTCACTTTACTTATTAAACCTATTACACACCTACCTTATTATACCCCGCCTTATTATCTTTTAAAACTGTTATCTGTTATATTATCTATTTAATTTAAATGTTCCACAATTCAAACAAAAAAGCAATCAGTGATACAGAGAATATATCTCATAATGATTAATAATAATTCCCTCCCCCTCTCCGGAGTGGTATCTGGTGGAGAATAAGTTATAGTTAGTGAATAACACTACAATCAGTCAACTTCTGACCGTTAACATATTATTTTAATGCAGTGATCATTAAGTGTATACCCACAATCATTTAATCATTCTTTTTTCTTTGTTCCTCTGGTAATCTTTGTCAATATATCTATGTACCTATGAATTGTTTCCACAGGCCCGTACACACATTTGGGTTTAGAAGTCTATACCAATGTACCTTATGAGTAACATATTTAAGCGAACTGATCGCTTCCCATCGATAAAAATAGAAACTCATCGCATGCCTATGCATCTGTTTTTCCGTGTACACGAGGTAGGTATCAGTGAATAATACTCTGATCTTCACATATTTTATTTCCCCACATTCTCATTTCTATCCTCATATTTACTCCTAACTAAGGGATGTCTAACTTAGTTTTGTTTTTCATTATACATTTATGTAGGAATATATATATGTATATTCCATATGAAGAATATAGTCAACACGAGTATTAACTGGATAATTTCTTGTAGGTAGTTGGTTTTTTTTTTGCTCTTGATATACATATTTGCCTTGGTAGGTTTGATTAATTTAGTTCACCCATTTATCTGAGATTTTTTCGCATCCATTTGTAGTTTTAAATAGTTTGATTTTGATTTGATTTTTTTATTAGCTATAGGAGTATTGTTCTCTTGTATAACCATGTTACTTCCCAAAGGGACCACCCTTATATCAATACATTCGTTTGAATTGATTTTTGATCCACTTTTCCCACCAATTCACATATTTCTTGATATCTATCCTATATACCTCCCATAGAGGCATACATTTTTGTTTTATTATCTAGATCATCGGTTCCCAACTTTTTGATAATATTATTGACCCATAAATCAGGTTAGACATTAAGAAATACAATACCCCTTCTTAAAAAAATAATTTAGTAAAAAAAAAAATATACATTATATTCATAGTTTATTTTAATTTATCAAACAAAGAAAACAAACGAGTTTTTATTTTACAACGAATGAGTAATGCTAATGGTGGTTGATATTGCTTATTTCTAACAATTTGTTTATATTTCTGTTCAGTTTAGGTCAATGCACATTTTATGTCGTGTTCTAAGTTAAATCGGTTTCTCGCTTTTTTGTTTTTATTGTTACCATTGTTGAAAACTTGTACAAGTGTGAAAAAGGGATCAGTATTTTTAAGGTTTTTTCCCCAGAATAATGGATACTCGCTACCAATTTTTCGCCAAAATGTTACTAGTTGTGTGTTTTCAAAATTTATTTTCCGTCTGTTGTCTTCACAAAGTCCTTAAATTTGTGCTTTAGCTTTAATTTCAATATCTGGAAATATACTTACATTTACTGAAAAAGGTCTTAACACCCAAGCATTAACTTGACGATTTTTTATATCTGGAAAATATTTACCGATTTAATCTACTACTGATATTAAGTGGAGAGTTATTTGGTCTGTGAATGAGCATTTTTCATTTCTTTCGTCGAGCATTATTGTTAGTTCTGGGAACATTGATATGTCCTAAACTTCAGTTCCATTTTGGTGAAGTTGCAATTTACGGATAAAACTGGCAACTTAATCTTGAGCAGCAAAAATATTTGTCATATTCCCTGGAAAACTGAGATTCTGTGTATTTATTAATCTGAAATTTAATTGTATTACTGCTTAATTTATTAACAAACCATAAAACTGCGATAGGTCACTAAAATTAATATTAAATTCTAGTGGTTTTTCATAAAGTAAATTTATAGTAGAAAACTTAAAATAATTTAAATCTAATTAGAAAAAAATTTTGCTTCTTACATCAATAATTAAATATTATTTTTCCATCAAAAGTTTATAATAAAATTATAATTTTTTTTTTATATTAATTATTTTAATTTAAGAAAATTACCTATTCACCTTACTTATTACACCTATAATACCCCTACACCTTATTATCTTTTAAAACTGTTATCTATTATATTATTTATTTATTTTAAATTTTCCACAATTAAAACAAAATAGCAATCAGTGATACAGAAATTATATCTGATAATATTTAATAATAATTCCCCCCCCCACCCCGCGCAAAGGTTTATGCGTTCGCAATCTATTGCAATTCATAATAATATTATATTTCTAATCACAGGTTACTAGCAAATCAGATCACGTTTCCCCTTATCGCCAATAACGTCGGCCCGTGGCGACGTGTGCCACGAACGTCTCCGGGCTCCGCTACTTAGAGTACGTTTCACGAAACTAGCGACTACGCTATGGCGTTTCCGATGGCGAAATTTCGGTGTTGCGCGGGTTTTTAAAAAATATAATTATTTTATTTATTGTATAATATATTCTATTATACATTGTATTATTTATTATAATATACTAAAATATACATTTTATTTTGATATTTTAACATTAATATTTACAATAATTATAACACATTTTAATATTCTAACAATTATATTTACAATTGAAGTGATTCATTGTCGTCATTCTTGCTTTCGCTGCTGTCTTCCGGGTTAACTGTCAAAACTATTGGCTCTAAATTCTAGTCCCTGAATCCTTCTTTAATAAAGTCTTCATCTTGAAGACGTTCGCAATGATCAACACAACGTTTCCAGTTGTCTACAGTAACGGATTCTATGGCAATATTTTCCAAGTTTTCAGGGTCTGTGATTTCATAACTGTTGTTTTTAATTGCAATAAAGTTGTCAATAAAAACAATCGTCTAGATAACTCGAACGAAGAAAACATACTGACAAAATAATGTGGTTGTTATCGTTATCCACAGTAATGCGTTCACCAATCACCATGTCACCAATCACTGTGTGCTTATCATGGAGTGTATGGTACCCATATGGTGGTTAAAAAATGTTCGGCAGCAGAAGGTAAAATTCATATCAACAGGGCCAGCTGTCGATGGTTGATTGCCTCGTCATTTTTAAATTACCCCGCTTTTTTAGTCACACATTTAGGAAACCCTAACGAAAATCCGTCATCAGAAGCGCCTGTACGGAGTCGCTAGTTTCGTGAAACGTACTGTAGTTTTCGTTTCTTTGTTCGTTCCTTTCCTTCTTCGTGTCCAGATCTCTTTTCAAGACTCTGTCACCAAACGGTCTTTCGATACAGTTCTCTTAATAAAACACTCCCGTGTATTACACGGATTCACATATTTTGCCGTCAAAAAAAGGTTGTGTACCCTTGCGCGTTTTATGATGGTACCCCGAACGAACCGATGAAGTGAGCCCCCATCTGGTCCGCTGGGCGGACATCTTCGGGCGGAACTAATGGTACTATGTATGTGATTTAATAATTGGCCGTTACTTCGTTAGTTGGTTGGTTTTTAAGGTAATTCAGTTTCAATGTTCTCCGAATATTGTGAATTAAATTTCTTTTTGTTTTCGTATGCTAAATCATTCCGATATACATATGTGGATCAACCAGCTAGATTTGTGTGTCCGTCTCATTATACTAATCCCCGAGTTCCACATACTATGTGCGATGGAGTGTACAATGTTTTTTAATTAGAATACTAGGACAACGTCACCTATCCGTGAGCCCTCGCACCGAATTTTGTATAATATTTGTTAAGTATCGAAAAAATAACCGTAGGGTAGGTACCACGGCTATAGATAATAATCTACCTATAGTCGTGTTAGGTACCTACGCGACAGTAATCCAAATTTTACCTTTGTTTAGAAACACAAACGGACATTTACTGGCACAATGGATGAGATAGTATTGTAGAGGATACAATTGATGTATATCTGTATGCAACGATTATTCATGGCTAACGAAAAACGATTCTGAATGGAGTTTTATTATAGGTAATATTTTGAATGGCCGTAATATTTTAGAAATAATAAAATTCATAAATTTTCAGAAATTTTCTCATATATTATGAAAATTCCTTGGACAATTCAAAAATAACCTGGTTAAATGACCACACCAGTCACATTTCCAGTAGTACTACTATTGAAAACCGTTGTAAAATCTCTGTTTGGAAATTTGTTCAAAGAAAAAAAAACAAAAAATTTATCATTTTGAACAAATAAGCAATCGGTGTTACAGATATGATATCTCATAACATTTAATTGTGTTACTACTTAATTTATTAACAAACCATAAAACTATGATAGGTCACTAAAATTATATTACATTTTTGTAGTTTTTCATACAGTAAATTTAAAATTAGAAAACCTAAAATAATTTAAACATAAAAAGAAAAAAACTTCTGTTTTATAGATAGTTCTTCTGTTAAAAGTCTGTTTTGACAAAAAAATGCTTTTTACATCTATGATTGAATATCATTTTTCCATCAGATATACCGTGTGTCCCGTTTTAAATGTACCACTAAATATCTCAGCATGATAATCTTAGATTGAAATATGGTTTGCTGCAATAGGTAAGGGGTACTGAAGTACACATTTAAGGACAAATTTCAAATTTTTAATTCTTGTAGTATGCGCATGCGCAATACAAACTTCTTTTTTTAATTGCAACACCTATTTTTGTCACCGGATATGGATAGATTATTTTATTTTAAGTAATTTTGATCCATTGACCATAGTTCTAAACCTAAAATTGAATGAGTTACAGCTTTTTGAAATTTTAAAATAATTAAATTTTATCGATTTTACTAAAAACATTACACGCTTGAATTGAGTGATTTTTTCATAGATTTTAATTAAGAATGTGAAGTAGGTAATTAAATAAAAATTACTCCGTTACATTGTTTTGACTTATGTTTATTTGTTTTATCTAATAAAATGTTCAAAATTTCCTCTGTTTTTTTCTAAACACAATTCCAGTCGACGACTCACTTCTTTATAGGTTGCTGCCAAAATTTGTTCTTTTGTTAATTGTCTGCACGCTACCGTTATTTTATTTTTTAAATCCTTTAAGTTTGCTGGTGGTT